GACAGCCAGTCACCCTGTGTGAGGCAGGCCACATCATGTAGACAGCCAGTCACCCCTGTGTGAGGCAGACCACATCATGTAGACAGCCAGTCACCCTGTGTGAGGCAGACCACATCATGTAGACAGCCAGTCACCCTGTGTGAGGCAGGGCCACTTCAAGTAGACAGCCAGTCACCCTGTGTGAGGCAGGCCACATCATGTAGACAGCCAGTCTCCCTGTGTGAGGCAGGCCACATCATGTAGACAGCCAGTCCTCCCTGTGTGAGGCAGACCACATCATGTAGACAGCCAGTCACCCTGTGTGAGGCAGGCCACATCATGTAGACAGCCAGTCACCCTGTGTGAGGCAGACCACATCATGTAGACAGCCAGTCACCCTGTGTGAGGCAGGCCACATCATGTAGACAGCCAGTCACCCTGTGTGAGGCAGACCACATCATGTAGACAGCCAGTCACCCTGTGTGAGGCAGACCACATCATGTAGACAGCCAGTCACCCTGTGTGAGGCAGACCACATCATGTAGACAGCCAGTCACCCTGTGTGAGGCAGACCACATCATGTAGACAGCCAGTCACCCTGTGTGAGGCAGGCCACTTCAAGTAGACAGCCAGTCACCCTGTGTGAGGCAGGCCACATCATGTAGACAGCCAGTCTCCCTGTGTGAGGCAGGCCACATCATGTAGACAGCCAGTCTCCCTGTGTGAGGCAGACCACATCATGTAGACAGCCAGTCACCCTGTGTGAGGCAGGCCACATCATGTAGACAGCCAGTCACCCTGTGTGAGGCAGGCCACATCATGTAGACAGCCAGTCACCCTGTGTGAGGCAGGCCACATCATGTAGACAGCCAGTCTCCCTGTGTGAGGCAGACCACATCATGTAGACAGCCAGTCTCCCTGTGTGAGGCAGACCACATCATGTAGACAGCCAGTCTCCCTGTGTGAGGCAGGCCACTTCAAGTAGACAGCCAGTCTCCCTGTGTGAGGCAGGCCACATCATGTAGACAGCCAGTCACCCTGTGTGAGGCAGACCACATCATGTAGACAGCCAGTCTCCCTGTGTGAGGCAGGCCACTTCAAGTAGACAGCCAGTCTCCCTGTGTGAGGCAGGCCACATCATGTAGACAGCCAGTCTCCCTGTGTGAGGCAGACCACATCATGTAGACAGCCAGTCTCCCTGTGTGAGGCAGGCCACATCAAGTAGACAGCCAGTCACCCTGTGTGAGGCAGGCCACATCATGTAGACAGCCAGTCTCCCTGTGTGAGGCAGACCACATCATGTAGACAGCCAGTCTCCCTGTGTGAGGCAGGCCACTTAACAGGCCCAGGCCATCGGGAAACCCCCCCTCCCGATGGCCAGTCTGGGACTGGGTACAGGAGGCGTAGAGTGAGGGATCATTGTTCACAAGTTAATCGATCGCAGATGGCGTCGTGGTCACGGACGAATAAAAAAAAATAATAATAATAAAAAAACTAAATGGGTCGCGAAATATACACTGGTGTTCCGTGAGCGCCCCCTAGTGGCCCGTGAGTATATTGGTAACATTTCACATTTTAAATAAATAAATTCATTTGAGTTTTCTGCAGTCTCGCGGGAATATCTCCGCAATGGAGCGAGCTCAAGTTTCACTTTCGATTGCATGATATAGTCCAGCGCACATGTTGCCACTTGTTTTTACCATTTTCAGGCGATTTGCAATCTGTTCTAAAAAAACGATGTGATTTTGGATATTTGTGGAGTTAGGTGGTCCGCGAGTGTTTTTTTATTGGTTAAGTGGTCCCTGGTATGAAAAGGTTTGAGAAACACTGCACTAGACCGACATGCCTTTTTGTTTTGCTGTGTTTTTCTGGTGTGTTTTTCCGTTAAGCATGTCGTAACTTCTTTATTATATATAGTTGTTATTATTCATTCTCATTCAAACTCTCAAAACACAGTTGGTGATTGTTGTAACTGTTTTATTAAATGGAGTCTGGTGTATTTGAGCTGAGCATATTGGACATTAACAAATTATAGTAATCCCTGTTTTATTTCTTATATATTCACATAGCATTGGTGCCAAAATAAGCCATGTTTCCATCACTCTCAATCAGAGATGGAGCTCATAAAAACCACATGTGGGGATTAAATGCAGATTATAACCTTTCCCAATACGGTTAAAAGCCAGATGTTTGTAGAGTTTATTGTCTAGTTGAAAAAAAGGGGCTAAAATAAGTCAACAAGTTATGGACGAATAAAGACCGTCCTTTTCTCTCCACTTATCTGGGTCTGGTTTGAGGTGACAGCTGACTTTGCAAAGATGCTCTTAACTCTTTCCTCCAGCTCCTCCTGGGGGTTCAGAGATGTTCTCCAGACAGATGGGAGATGTACAAATGTTGATCTAATGCTGGAAAAACCTCTGGCTATAAATCATCCCCTCGCTTGAGAAGCAAGACCCTTCAGAGTATTTTTCCTTGAGGCTAAAACTCTTGAAGAACTCGAAGTCCTGCCAAGTATGTGTGTCTAATATCTAGTCAATATGTCCTTACACTTGCTATAAGACACAATAACTTCAGAAGTGACACTGCAGTGAGATATTGGATCTTGTCTTTAGACAATGCGTCATCTTGTTAAGTCAACAAATCTTATTTTGAGTTGTATCTCAGATGAAACACATATTTGTTTACATATTTATCTTAAAATCACCAACTAACACTGAACACTTTTGAGCATTTTCTGCTTATATAACACAACATTTCCCGATTCTGGTCAAATATAGTTCAAAATGAGTTCTCCCAGATAATTACAAGATAAATATCGCTTCTTATTTCAAGAAATCTTACCAAGCAAATCTTCACTTGATCTATTGGCAGATTTTTGTACTTATTTCAAGCGATATGTTTTTGTAGCAGCATTTTCTCCAGTGTAGTTTTAAGAGCCAGTCTTTCTATTATTATGACTCATTCTTAATATTACTAAAGAAGTGCGTTGGAGAAGAAGCATCTTGTGTTTTAAACGCCTTGAAGAAGAGGACATCTTGGCGAGATCCTCAGCAGACCTTCTGTTTTTAAGATTAAACTGCACTGACCTCCTCCGCCTGATATTTTACGCAATGCCCGGAGTGAAGGCTTTGAAAAGGATTAGCCATCTGGACTTGAGATGCAGCCAGCAGTTAAAGACACGAGTTAAACATGGACGACTTTAACGTGGAGCGCTCAAACTCCAGGGATTTCAGCTGGAGCGTACACATGAATAATCAGCATATACTACAAATAGCAGAGTCATATTCTCACTGAGAGTAAGCCTGCTAATTAGAGCAGAGATCCAGGAGAAATGCCAGGGGACGAGATGCTATACCAGCACGAGAAATATGAAATAATTATCAACAGATAAGACTTCAGTGAATGGCTTTAGGGGTCTATAGAATACATTTTGTAAATCCTTCACATTATGTCAGTCTTGATTCCTGCTCGATTATGAGTGCCAATCCCCTCTTGATTGACTCTAAGTCCACTTAGTCTTAATCCACTCAATGCTAGATGATAAACAGCTTATCTCCATAAAAGGAGTGAAGGAAAGGGAGCAGATGAAATGACGCAGTTTTATTTGAGGATGGAATAAAGCAGAATGTTTGCAGCCGTTATTTTAGCACCACTGTCAATCAAAACGGGCCTCTTAACTGTAACTGTCCAGTTTGTAGCATAGGCAGGAGGATACTTATGGGCTGGATACACACATTATATATTAACGATGCAAGAAAGGGCTATAGATGAGAGTGACACCTACGTCACTTCCGGGCAAAAATTACGGCCCCGCCCACTTTTTGGGGAAAACAACGCTGTCATTTGAACGGCGGTCGATACAAATTCTGAAGTTTTTGCCAATCCGATCAAATTATTTTTTAAACCGTGGATTTTTGGATCTTCAAAGAGCTCGATTACGATGGCAAACAATTACATTCGATCATTGGTAATCGAAAATCGGTCTTGATATATGGTTAAATTAAAATCAGTAGGCGAGGCTGTAATTTCTCCAGCTGTTACTCTCATGAGCGAGGCGGAACATAATAGTTTTATCATGCCAAAAAGCTGCTGTGTCGTTTATTGCACCTCAAACATTAAAAATAATCAAGAGTTCAGTGTTTCTGTTCTTCCTCTAAGAAGAAAGGACAGTAAAAGAAGAGCTCTGTGGCTTCAGGCTCGATCGCCGTTCAAATGACAGCGTTGTTTCCCCAAAAGTGGGCGGGGCCGTAAAGTCACGTAGATGTTACTCTCATCTATGAAAATCGATAGCCTACTGCTATATTTAACCATATATCGAGCCCGATCGTCGATTTCTAATGGCTTAATGCAATTGTTTGCCTGTCTGGCCATTGGAATCGGGCTCTTTGAAGATCCAAAAGTCTCCGGTTTTCTTACATTTCTGATCGGATTGGCACAAACTTCAGAATTTGTATTGACCGCTGTTCAACTGACAGCGTTGTTTTCCCCCAAAAGTGGGCGGAGCCGTTAGTTTTGCCCGGAAGTGACGCATTTGTTACTCTCATCTATTGTGTTGCATTCAGGGGGAAATTCATATAGGAATACAATTTAAAAAGCAATCAACTCATAGTTTGAACACCCAGAAAAAAAAGTCACACGCCTCCTATCATGACTTAAAGCTCATGAACACACTGAAGTAGGAAGACAAACATCCACATTTGGGAAAAAGGACTATCCAAGGGGCACCTGAAAGCACCACTGTAGTTATAATAACAGAAAGTAAAACTATGTTGGTCATTTGTAGCTAAACTTCAATTCTCCTGTGTAAGAGCTGCAAGGAAATGTTCTAGCAGACGCTCTATGAAACTAGTTACTTGTATATAAGACTGAAATGTACCTTGGTATGCAAATGAACCTTCACTTTCTGTCTGCTCCAGTATGCACTCACACATTAGTTACCCTTTGGGGCTAAAAATAGCGCTGTCAGAGCGGTGAGGAGAGGTGGGTCATCCCTCGCTGGATAAAAATAGAATGACAACCAGATGGAGACGAGTCAGGAAAACGCTGGGATGAAAGAAAGCTTCGGGGGGAAGGACGTGGCCGACATCATCGTGCACACACACACACACACACACACACACACACACACACACACACACACACACACATACATCTACGTCTCATACAGTATGCATCTACTGTGATAATTGCATGTTTTTCCAAATGCATCACTCATGTATTTCACTTTCTGTCAACATCATTTTGCTGATGCCCTTTCAGTGGCACGTGCCGCTCACAATTTGACAGAAATCACAGCAGTACCTTCTCTCCGCTCGGGTACCTTAAGGCAAAACACTGCTAAAATGAAACCTCTGTGATCTAAATATACCGGTCGGGCTCGTGCGCCTATCACAGATCGAGAAGACATCAAATAAAGCAGAGTGAAGGGGAAAGGGGGGAAATCATTGTTTGCCTGAAGATAAATCTGCTCAGTAGATGTAGGAAAATAGAACTCCAATAACCTTCCACCAGCTACGAGTGAATACATGAAGGAATTGTATTTAGAAGGGATATAAATGAGAGTGAATGGTGTTCATGCCTGCTTTTGTTTTGAATGAATTCGGAGCAAACTGAATGGATTACAGCGGTTTACCATCAGTGATGCTTTCAATGACTCAGCAGCTCCTCCATCTGGTCAAATAGGGACATAACATTCCCGACCTATTCATTCTCATGGTGTGTCGTACTCAATATTACATACTAATTAAGTAGTGTGCAACATGTAGTATCCTCAAAGTGCAAAACCTGCAAAAACAACTCCAATTCGACCCATCTTTGTGATAAGTAGTGTAAGGGAAACTTCTGCAGCAATGGAGAGTCAGGACTCAGAGAGACAAGAGGAAAGTTGGAGCTTTGATGTCAAACACGGATCTTTAATACAAGCATCCGCCGGAGAAATTCACATCACAAGTCACACAGTCAAAGGTTCTGACTGCACGGGTGGGTTGTCATGTCAGTTCTGACCTATCTCTCGATAGACCTTTTAACTAGTTTACAGAGAGGTAATGAGCATATTGGGGGATGGGGCGTTAACACCTGGGAACACTGAAGATATCCCCCAACTGGAAATACTCAATCACTTGTCAGTGGTGTTTAGAAGCCAGCGTTCTCACAGTCGTAGACCCCCCTATCAGGCCATACAACTGACACTTAAGTGCTGGAGCACATTCCTTAAAGGAGACAACAGAATATTGGTTGGTTATTAACGTCAACAGGCAATAAGGTTAAATATCTAGGAGTAAAGACAGAGTTATTCCCTCACAAGTAGGATTATGATTATGAAGTATTATGGCGCTTATATATCATAATGCTAAATCAGATGCTTTCTAATATGTTTTGAGGATTGTTATAAATAAAGTGCTTATTACAATAACTTGACAGAGATACAATAGAAAAGAAAGGAAAGTGCGACCACAAAAAGAAAATTAAACTACACTTTGTTTCAGTTTTTAACACAAATCATGACCTTTCTGTCTTCCAGGCAGGCTGTGAGAGTAACGGTGGGATCCTGAAGAAGCTTTCCTCCATCAAAGAGGACGAGGAGGGGTCTGGGTCTGAAGGTGAGCGCTCCCCTCTCCCCAGGGTGACTCCTCTGGGCAGGCTGGGTCGAGGCCTGCGCTCCCCTCTTCCCTCCCCCATGCGCTCCCCTCTCAGATCCCCCATGATGCCTTCAAGGACCTTCAGAGCGGTGGGAGACCGGCCCACCAGCCTTCAGATCCCCATCGTGAGCTACAACATCCCGCCGCCACCGAACTTCAGCCCCCGGTGAGGAGGCTGTGATTTTGTTGTGATTGAAGTTGTCTACCTGCACGTGCATGTTTATCCCACAAAGGGGCAGATCGTCTTATTGTTCATCGTTGTGTGTTCACAAAGGGTTAGAGACAAGCCATACAGAGTTGATCTTCACTTGTAGGCGTACAATATTTAACCACAACAGACCATGTAGCCAATATGTAAGAGAGTGTTGTACAGACTAAGGGCGCATTCACACCAGCCTTTTATAGTCCGGTTGAATCGAACCCTGGTGCGTTTAGTTCGTTTGGGTCGGTGTGAACACAGTCCGAGACCTCTTAAGTGAACTAAAGTTACATTTTTTTCTTTTTTACATGTTATTAATAACTGCATATCTATCAATCTATGTGTCCTCCTTTGATGCCAATCTTTTAATATTTTTTATTTATTAATATTTTATTTTCCATCCATCCATCCATCTTCTCCCGCTTATCCGTGGTCGGGTCGCGGGGGTAGCAGTTCCAGCAGAGAGCCCCAAACTTTCTTTTCCCTGGCGACATGAACCAGCTCTGACTGGGGGATCCCAAGGCGCTCCCAGGCCAGCGAAGAGATATAATCCCTCCACCTGGTCCTAGGTCTACCCCTTGGTCTCTTCCCAGCTGGACGTGCCTGGAACACCTCCCTAGGGAGGCGCCCAGGTGGCATCCTAACTAGGTGCCCGAACCACCTCAACTGGCTCCTTTCGACGCGAAGGAGGAGCGGCTCAACTCCGAGTCCCTCCCTGATGACCGAACTTCTCACCTTATCCCTAAGGGAGACACCAGCCACCCTGCGGAGAAAACCCATCTCGGCCGCTTGTATCCGCGATCTCGTTCTTTCGGTCATGACTCATCCTTCATGACCATAGGTGAGGGTAGGAACGAAAATGGCCCGGTAGACGGAGAGCTTTGCCTTCTGGCTCAGCTCCCTTTTCGTCACAACGGTGCGGTAAAGCGACTGCAGTACCGCTCCCGCTGCTCCGATTCTCCGGCCCATCTCACGCTCCATTGTTCCCTCACTCGAGAACAAGACCCCGAGATACTTGAACTCCTTCACTTGGGGTAAGGACTCATTCCCTACTTGAAGTGGACAGTCCATCGGTTTCCTGCTGAGAACCATGGCCTCAGATTTGGAGGTGCTGATCCTCATCCCAGCCGCTTCACACTCGGTTGCGAACCGATCCAGTGAGTGCTGAAGGTCGCAGACCGATGAAGCCATTAGAACCACATCATCTGCAAAAAGCAGTGGTGCAATCCTTAGTCCACCGAACTGCAGACCCCCTCCCCCATGACTACGCCTCGAAATCCGATCCATGTATATTACAAACAGGATTGGTGACAAAGCGCAGCCCTGGCGGAGGCCAACCCTCACCGGAAATGGGTCCGACTTACTGCCGAGGACCCGGACACAGCTCTCGCTTTGGGAGTACAGAGATTGGATGGCCCTGAGTAGAGACCCCCTCACCCCATACTCCCGCAGCACCTCCCACAGTAACTCCCTGGGAACTCGGTCATACGCCTTCTCCAAGTCTACAAAACACATGTAGACCGGAATAAGCGTATTCCCAGGCCCCCTCCAGGATCCTTGCGAGAGTAAAAAGCTGATCCGTCGTTCCACGACCAGGACGGAATCCGCATTGTTCCTCCTCAATCTGAGGTTCGACAATCGGCCTGACCCTCCTTTCGAGTACCTTAGAGTAAACTTTCCCGGGGAGGCTGAGTAGTGTGATGCCTCTGTAATTGGCACACACCCTCTGATCCCCCTTTTTAAAAAGGGGGACCACCACCCCGGTCTGCCACTCCTTCGGTACTGTTTCCGACTTCCACGCAACGTTGATGAGACGTGTCAACCATGACAGTCCCTCAACACCCAGAGCCTTCAGCATTTCCGGGCGGATCTCATCCACCCCCGGGGCTTTGCCACTGTGGAGTTGTTTGACGACCTCAGTGACCTCCCCCCGGGAGATTGGTGTTGATCCCCCGTCATACTCCAGCTCTGCCTCTAACATAGAGGGCGGAGTTGTCGGGTTCAGGAGTTCCTCAAAGTGTTCCTTCCAACGCCCTAACACTCCATCAGTTGAGGTCAACAACGTCCCATCCTTACTGTACACAGCTTGGATGGTTCCCTGCTTCCCCCTCCTGAGGTGTCGGACAGTTTTCCAGAACAACTTTGGTGCCGCCCGAAAGTCCTTCTCCATGTCTTCTCCGAACTTCTCCCACACCCGCTGCTTTGCCTCGGCCACGGATGAGGCTGCTGCCCTTCGGGCCTGTCGGTACCTTGCAACTGCCTCGGGAGTCCCCCGGGATAACAAATCCCTGAAGGCCTCCTTCTTCAGTCGGACGGCTTCCCTGACCACCGGTGTCCACCAGGAGGTTCGAGGGTTACCGCCCCTTGAGGCACCTAGGACCTTGAGACCACAGCTCCCCGCTGCTTTATTGTTTTTAAATCTCACAACCGCCCTTCAAGCCAATCAGAATCGAGCTGCCGCTGCTGAGAGTGAAACTGAGTATCTGCTCAGCTTTTGGAGCAAGTGAGAGCTAGTGAATATTTCGCTCTGCAGCTGGATGAGAGCACGGATGTAGCAAATATTGTTGTTTATATATATTACATTACATTGCATTTAGCTGACGCTTTTATCCAAAGTGACTTACAATAAGTGCATTCGACCAGGAAGACACAACCTTGAAGAAAACAGAATCATATAAGTACATCAGGTTTCATAGAGCCAAACATTTCAAGTGCTACTCAACTGGCTTTAGATAAGCCAGTCCTTTATTAGTATATAAGTGCTCTGTTAGCAGTTCTTTGTTAGTAATTGTATCGCTCGAGGTGGAGTCGAAAGAGATGAGTTTTCAGTCTGCGCCGGAAGGTGTGTAAGCTATCTGCTGTCCTGATGTCAATGGGGAGCTCATTCCACCATCTTGGAGCCAGGATAGCAAACCCACGTGTTTTTGCTGATGGGAACTTGGGTCCCCCTCGCAGCGAGGGCGCAGCGAGCTGTTTGGCTGATGCAGAGCGTAGTGCACGCGCTGGGGTGTACGGTTTAACCATGTCCTGGATGTAGGAAGGGCCAGATCCATTCGCAGCATGGTACGCAAGTACCAGTGTCTTGAAGTGGATTCTAGCAGTTACCGGAAGCCAGTGAAGGGAGCGGAGGAGCGGAGTGGTGTGGGAACATTTAGGAAGGTTGAAGACAAGACGAGCCGCTGCATTCTGGATGAGCTGCAGAGGTCGGATGGCACATGCAGGTAGACCAGCCAGGAGGGAGTTGCAGTAGTCTAGGCGTGAGATGACGAGAGCCTGGACCAGAACCTGCGTCGCTTTCTGTGTCAGCTGGGGACGTATCCTCCTGATGTTGTAAAGCGTGTATCTGCAGCAGCGGGTTGTAGCAGCGATGTTTGCAGTGAAGGACAGGTTGTTATCTAGGGTCACACCCAGATTCCTTGCAGTCTGAGTCGGGGAAACAACTGAGGTGCCGATGTTGATTGTCAGGTCAAGAGTGGGACAATCTTTTCCCGGGAGGAAGAGCAGCTCAGTCTTGTCAAGGTTGAGCTTGAGGTGATGAGCAGACATCCACTGAGAGATGTCAGCTAGACAAGCAGAGATGCGTGCGACGACCTGGGTCTCTGAGCGGGGAAAGGACAGAATTAGTTGGGTGTCATCAGCGTAGCAGTGGTATGAAAAACCATGCGGGCTAATGACTGATCCGAGCGAGTTTGTGTACAAGGAGAAGAGGAGGGGACCAAGAACAGAGCCCTGAGGGACCCCTGTAGTTAATTGACAAGGGTCGGACTCAGACCCTCTCCAAGTCACCCTGTAGGTACGGTCTTTCAGGTATGAGGTGAGGAGGGAAAGTGCAGAGCCTGAAACTACAAGTTTTTGGAGAGTGCGAAGGAGGATCTGATGATTCACCGTGTCGAATGCAGCAGACAGGTCCAACAGGATGATGACAGAGGAGAGGGAGGCTGCTTTAGCAGTGTGCAGTTCCTCAGTGACAGCAAGGAGGGCAGTTTCTGTGGAGTGACCTGACTTGAAACCAGACTGGTGCGGATCCAGAAGGTTGTTACAATTCTAGAAGTCACCAGTTGTTATCCTGTCAAAATCGAGTTGCACACTTATTCACTATCAATATCCACTGTGGTATTCAGGGAGTAAAAGTGTTGTTGCTTTGGAGATGAAACCATGTCCAGTTTGTGAATAATTTAAGAGCACAAGAGATGCAAACACGCTTCTTCCTTACTTATTGATTTGTGTGAAATTAATCGACTCTCTCTTGCTCTCCGTCCTCAGGTTTGTGTACGGGATCGAGACAGAAAACCAAAGTGGATCAGCACAGATGTTTGATTACTCTCCTAGATCACCTCAGAGTTTACTAACCAGCCCTGACTCAGGTTAACACACACACACACACACACACACACACACACACACACACACAAACACACACACACACACATACTATGTGTACATCACTTCAGGGGACATTACATTGACTTACATGCATTTCCTGGAGACTTATGCTAACCTTAACCATAACCAACTAAAATTAATGATTCCCCTCATGGGGACCTCCATTATGTCCCCATAAGGGAGGCGAGTCCCCACACGTGACTGTGTAAACAGATTTAGGTCCCCACAAGGATAGTAATGCTAGGCCACACACACACACACACACACACACACACACACACACACACACACACACACACACACACACACACACACACACACACACACACACACACACACACACACACACACATCAATCAATCCTTATCCTTATTCTCTGCATGTTTCTGCATGTGTGTCTTTCCTGATCTGTCCCCAGGTCCCCATGAAGAGGCTGACACCATGCAGACAATCGCTAAGCTAAAACATGAGGTAAGAACAAAGTGTATTTAAAATAATTGTATTGACTTTATTCGATAGTTATTGAATAAACTAACTCCCATACTCATACACTTGGAGAAGAAGCGTTAAAGTCCTACTTTTTTTGGAATATCGTCCTCGATAATCGGTCGACCCCTAATTTTTATACATATTTTATTTTGTATTCGGAATTGTGGGAAACGGTATTTCGATCTGTCTGTATACACAAACTGAAAGATTGATGTTGTGTCAAATTATCATATAATCATTTAAAACATATTGCCTTTTACAGGGTTAAATTGTGTTTTTAGTCTTGTATGTGTTTAACAGAGACACATGTTAAGGGTTTACATTTCAGGAGGAAGTGTAACACGTGGATTTACAAATTGTTAAGGACTCGGGGGTTTTATGGTTTGATGTTTAGATGATGCCTAAGAGAATTTAAGGGTATCTATAGTGTGACTGTAAGCTGTGAGAACTTCTCGATCCTCTGAGGATAGCTCTGTTCCTACATTTGGGATCGACTTTCTTTATTACTTTATTAAATATAACAAAAGACAAACTTTGTCCATGAACCATTTATCAGTTTCTCTTAAGAATTTCCTCCACTATTGACAATAAAGTTGACTTTTCCTCCATCTTCTCTCCAGATGAGCGTCCTCTCTGGTCAGGTGACGTCCGTCAGTCAGGAGCTGCAGGAAATGACTCGTCTTCTCAAACCTCTCTTCCACAACCCCTCCATGCTGCTGATGCGCGTGACTCCACCTACCCAGCATGCACCTGTGGACAATCACCATCACACTCCCTCCTGCATCCCGGTACCTGATTCCAGCATGAATTCGGTGTTAAAAGAAGATTTTGATCCTCTCCAATGTCCTCCCATCACTCCTCCTCATCCTCTTTCAGCTCCTCCATCACTCAACAGATCTCCTCATGAACACACAGTCTTACCGCCTCCTTCTTCTTCCTCCATTCCTTCCCTTTTTTCATCCATCACCCCCCTCTTGGTGGATTTATCAGCGCCTGAGAGTGAGCAGATTCTCCCAGAGTCCCAGCTCATATCCAGATGTTATTCCCAGCTCAGCTTCATCAACGAAGGACAACCATCGCTGTGAAGAAGACAGAAGATCTAAACCCCGCATGCTGCACCCAACTCACTGCATGACAAACATTTCGGCATGGGAGTTAAGATGTAAATACTACCGGCTGTTTGCAGATCTGATAATAAAATAGTTTGTTTACAGTTTTGATTTATTCAACACTTAATTATGAGCCCAATTTCTTCCAAACCTTAAAACCATCCTACAAATTAGGGCTGCTCAATTAATCGTATTTTAATCGCGATTACGATTATGGCTTGCAACGATTACGAAAACAACGTAATCGAAATATATATATATTTTTAAATAATTGTTTTCAGTTGAATTAAACTTAAAGTTCAGGGTAATCAACTGTTAAAAACATACTGTTTTTTTTCTCCAATAAATGGATGTTTTCAAAGTCAATGAATAATCGCATTTAATAATCGCAATTACAATTATTGACCCAAATAATCGAGATTATGATTTTTGCCATAATCGAGCAGCCCTACCACAAATATAGAAAGGAGGATAAGACCAGAACAAGATGTAGCTCCTTTCCAAGGAAATCCGGCCCGCCACTTAATTTGATGTGGCCCACAAGAGCTTGCAAAGAATATAATCAGTTTATTATAAGGTTACGTGCCGCTTTACAGGAGCACGTTGCCCATAAACTACATGTCCCACAATGCATCTCATTTTGTGATATGCGCACTGAAGAGACTTGCAATTATTTGCCCTAGACTTCTGCTTTCAGACGTAGTTAATTATGAAGTTATTACCCTAGATAATAATCCAATGCAGAGGAAATATTGTAAAATAATACATTATTTTATATATATTATATATATTTATCTATGTATATTTATATAGTCTTGAAGTTACCACCGGCCCATAATTCTAATGTGTCCCGCGATGAAATTGAGTTTGACACCCCTGGTTTAGATGTATGTTAATTAGGAGTCATTTTTCAAAGTTTTTGGCCTCCATCGATGGAAAACTGGACTACTTTGGAGGCCAAACTCAAGCCCTTATGTCCAGTATATTTCATTCACACTGCCAGACCAAATAGCTCCTTTGCTGTTAATTCTCAACTCTAGCATTACGACTAACACATTTCCGAGGACTTCAGTTCAATTCATGTTAAGTTGATGTCATTTTTCACCGTTTCCGGTAGTTTTTGTTCACCATTGATGGAAAACTGGAGGCCAAACTCAAGCTCACTGTCCCTTATGTCCAGTATATGTCATTCACACTGCCACACAAAGTGACGACGCAGTAAATGCTCGTTGTTAGTTTTATTGTAGCTGCTGCTAAATCTTGAATGAAGGGAATTAAAGGAGACTTGTTACTCCGTCAGCCTCCTGAAAGACTGCACCGTGGGACAAACGGCTTCCCAGTCCACAGACTTTCGATACTCGCCTTTTCCCAGCAGATACTGGCGACCTTTGAAGTTTGCGTGTTCGTAGAAAACCCTGCAGGAGTTTTCTACGACCAGTGGAAGTGCGCCAGCAACGAGGGACAATCCTCCGTCGCCTCGAACACACGACCGGAGAAGTCTGATTTGACGTAGAGCTGGAGCTTCTGAGGATCTCCGTTTGCGAGGAGGAAGAGGAGGAGGAGGAAGGGTTTGGAGAGATGTGGATGGAAAGGGAAAACTGAGAGGTGGAGGAGTAAAGAAATACAACAACAATGGATCCAAGTGCAGTGTCAGGGTAGGTTTAAACTAATATCACGGCAAGAATAACACTTTTAACAAGTCGTTGAGTTTTAAATGTGGTTTTTAAGACTTCTATTTCTCATAAGTTTCCTAGAAATCAGAATCAGTAAATCAATAAATTGACCTTTGTCAAAAATAGCTTCCTAAACTCACCTATAAAAGAAATTAAATAGCATTAATGTTTTTTTTAAGTGTCTTTTGCTGAACATAACTCAGAAACAAAAATACTTAATTGATCCTTGGGCGACATTTGGTGACATTATTTTGCTCCATTTTTAGAATCAGAATCAGAAATAAGATATAAAAGAATCTGAATAAAATATAAATATTTGAATATCAGTTGTAAAAATACCCCAAAAAACTATTAAATAAGACAGTTAGAGAACGGTCTTTCTCTTGCACTAAACTGAACAGTTAATGAATCTCACGCTGCAGTTCAGGTAATGGCCACTAGCTGTCGGTGTAGTTTCACATTTTATTTCCCATTAATTCCCATTTAAAAAATAAATAAATTAGGATGCATGGTCACACATGCAGAGCACACAGCACACACAGTGAAATGTGTTCTCTGCTTTTAACCCATCCTAGTACCAGGGGCCTTTCTCATTTCACTAATTCCCCTCCTCGACTCCTATCCTCGTGTCTTAGTCCCGCCCACAGGAGATGCGAACGGAGGAGTCGAGGAGGGGAGCCGAGGAGAGAGGAGGGGAAGCAGCAGGCGGTTAGAGAAATGAGAACTCCTCTCCTCTGAGCGGTCATTTTAAAGAGATGTCCATTAATGATGACAGGAGGCACAGCAGCCCTCTGTCTGATGGACAGATGTGTTCATGACCACTTATATATTTACTTTTAATTCATTCACCGTGCGGTATAATGAGACAATAACAGGCTACAGATGCGGACACACACACACACACACATATTTATATATATAAGTATACAAGTATGAGAGCACTCACAGCATAATAACGTAACACTATCAGAGACTGGATATATCCCCCCCCCCCCCTCTCTGGTCGCTACAATGAGGAAATGAAATTACGGGCCAAAAGTTTTATTTACAAACTATTAAAATTAAGCATAGGACACCAAACCAACTGAGACCCGTCTGTCTGCCGCATCCACACACACACACACACACACACACACACAACCACACACACACACACACACACACACACCACACACACACACACCACACACACACACACACACACACACACACACACACACACACACTAAACTAAAGCAAATAAAGAGAGTAGGCCTGTTATACTGAGTGATATATATTATACACAGTGCTCTGCTTTCTGCACGGACCTCACAGCTGTTCTCGGTGCCTTGCTCAAGGGCACCACAGCAGGGCAGGAGGTGAAATGGGACCTCTCCAAGTAGCAGTCCACACTCCATATTTAGGTCTGATCGGGGACTTGAACCGGCGACCTTACGGCTCACAGTCCAAGCCCCTACTGACATGCGGCAACAACATTAAAATAGTTATTACATGCAAGACAGAACATCACTCCAAGTTTAAACTTTATAAAGGGTTACCAGTTACAGGGTGTTACTATAAGTGTCACTTAATTAAATTGCTAAATAATTTTAATATGAATCAGCTGAGAAAATATGTTTAAATGCATTTGGCATTTACCTACATGTCATTACAAGAGACGCCACAAGAGAGCAGCATTTCCTCAGTGAAAAGACAACAAGCGCTAATATGTCTAATTTAATTGAGATGTCACTGCATCAATAAAAAAATACGGTATATGGTATTTCTTTAGGCTTTTCTTTCATCGATACATCTGGAAAAACAAGCAGATGAATACATTGATTGTTAGAAATAATCCAGTACAGCAACTTAAATGTGATTTGTCTGATAAATGTAATGCACAATGAAACTAAACCCTAGTTTCACTTAAATAATAAAACATTTAATCCCAATAAAAAGACTCGTATATATAATTTATCCCCCAAATGTGGCTATTTTAAACATTTATATCTCCAAACACAGTCTGTTTTGTGTCTAAAATAATAATTTCCCTTTCTTTTGTACAGCTTTTGGTCACCAGCGCCCACCACGAGACACCGTGTGCTGTTATAAAAACATCAGTATTACATATAGAGCTCCAAAATACACACAACATCAATATTTGTTGTTACGGGTAATAAGAGCTGGCTTGTTTTCATTGGAACCTTGTGAAAGCACTCTTTAATTGCCACGCATACCATCACACACACACACACACACACACACGCACGCACACACACACACACACACACACACACACACACACACACACACACACCACACACACACACACCACACTACTTGCTCATGGTGAGCGACTTGTGGTGAGCTGTCAGAGATATTTAAGATGATGTAGGACAGGCAAGTGTTGGCAGACTCACACACCCACACACACGCACACCACACACACACACATACACACACACACACACACACCACACACACACACACACACACACCACACACACACACGCACACACACACACACACACACACACACCACACACACACACCACACACACTACATCACACACACACACTCACAGACCACAGAGGAGGAGCGACAGGAAGGCAGACAGGCTGAGGAGTAATGATAGTGACTATTCTTCCATCTAGAATAAATCACGCAGCGCTGACCACCGAACTGCCATTTGGACAGAGACACTAACAAACATTTAAGAGAGGGACGGACGGGACGTATGGGGGAGATTCTCAGGGTAAAACACACACTTTTCTTTAACAATGTTTTTATTCAATTGTATTGCTCATACGGAGAGTTTAAAATACATAATGCAGCAGTACAGTCACTGCAATGATGTGAGATAAGTTAACTTCATAGTCTTAGTCCGACTCAACCCAAAAGTGCTTTTTCTCTCCTGGTTTGGTTAAAGAATTAAGAATTAATTAATTAATTAAAATCACAATTCAAAGAGGAAATAACTCACATCTCTGAGTTGGAATTAAAGTTGTTCAAATATATTAATATTGTAAAAAAACAAGGCTTTACTTAGATATATTAAGGCGTTAGTGACACTTCATTTAATTGGTTATTAAAAAGCAAAGACAAAACACTTTTTTTATTTAATTGTTCTTAAAAATGGCACGTTTTTCGTATCCAAAATAGTTTAATTATACTCCCTTTCTTAGTATACAGGGTATTTGTGAAAACAAGGTGTTCTCTGTTACTAAAACACATAATGGGACCTATCGTTAACGTGACATTTCTACAATGATTAACCTCTAACATACATTTTCTCTCGTTCTCTGCCATCACGACATCTGGGGAATTATTCATCCTTTCTAAATCCGGATATCCCATTATTCATTAAGTGTTCACTTTTATAGAATAAAGCTTTTTTTATCTCACTTGCTGCAAATGTCTAATTTGTATTTTTGATGGATTTGACCCCACTTGAATGTCACTGATTATTGTTTGAAGACGGTTATACATGTAATTTGTTTTCATGTATGTCAATCTG